AGAAGGTGCACAGGCGACACCAGCTCCCAGGCAGAACCTCCGCCCAGATCCCTTTATCTGCTTCCCCTCGGCAAATGTCAGGGTGGTGACTCAGGAGCAGCCGCGGGAGGTCACCCTAGCCCTGCAGGCCGCACAGTGCACCAGGTCCCAGCCCAGGATGCCGGCCTGAAATTCCCTGACACGGGTCTCGAGGCGGAGCACGCCGGCCTCGGGCCTCCGGGGGAACAGGGCCCTTGGAAACAGGCTTTTGCAGAACCCTGGTCCCCAAGGCAGCTCTAAGCACGGTGACTTGCTGCCCGCCGCCCCTGGCCACATGTAGGTGCTTCTGAGAGGTGATCCAAAGTAACCTCTGGCACCAGCAAAATGTCTGGGGCCCCAGAAGGTCAGGGGGAAGGGAGAGGGGGACGGCGGCTGCGCCGGGCTGTCCAAGGCAAGGTGGTTTCACGGCACCCACAGGGGCCCCAAGGATGCTGACCAAGCCACCGGATTACCGGGAGTGGCCTAACCCCAGCCTCAATCTGCACCGCATCCTACTCTCCTCCACTACCCCCTTCCAGGGCGGCGGCAGTCAGCAGGGAAGTGAGCGGCTCCCTCCTGTCCTCTCTCCCAGATCTCGCGGAAGTAATCCAGCCTCTCTCTGTGTTTTGACTCAAAACAAAGAAACTTTTTAAAAACATTTCGGTTGAAACTTGCATAACTCTTCCAGTGGAGAAATCCTCCCTCGACTTTCGCAATCCTTAGAAAGAGACACATTATTGCCACAGCCACTCCTGCCAGACAGCCAGCCCAGGAACCACCGTCTCCTCCTGGGCCAGGGTGCCCCCCACACCCCGTCTGGGTGGGGCTCAGCTCACACGGAGCCCAGACTTCCTCCACTCACATCCTGTCTGCCGCTGCCATGTTTCAGACAGACATTACACAAGCCGGCTGCAGAGGGAAACCCGCGCCAGGAGTCAGTGACCTTCCTCAGACTCTCCGCTGACGGAGGGACTGCAGGTGGGGTGCCCGTGCAGAGGCAAGGGGTACCCCAGGACCCTGCTGCCCACAGATGGTGAGGACCCGGCCCCGGGCTCAGAGGGGCCCTGGCAAACCAGTGACCTAGGTGGACGAAGAGACGGAAGCATCTGCAAAGTGGATGGCTGGCAAGAGTGAGCAAGACCTAGTCAGCTCCTGCTCTAGCCCTGTGTCCTCTTGAGAAGATCCGACCAGAGGCTCCGCCCATCCTCCAGCGTGCTCCTCCTACAGTGCTCCTCCCTTCCCCGCTCAGGGAACACCACTTCTGAAACCCAAGGTGGCCCGGCAGAGCTGCTCCTGAGGACCGGTCTTCAAAGACACCGGTGGGCCAAGGACAGCGGCTCCACAGCAGCCCTGCCCAGACCTGGGGTCACGCAAATGAGGCCCGCAGGACATGGCTGCTCTCAGGCCTGCTGTGCTGTCACTCCCAACTGTAATCCAACTTCTCTGAGTCCAGAAACGCCTGATCTCTACAGCCACAAGACACCTGAGGCCCTAGACCACTCAGTGCGAGGAAACTGGAAGAGAAAAACCACCTCAGGGCTATGCTTCCAACATAAGGAATCCACACAACCCACACTAACAGACGTCAGCTGCCTGCAAGAGCAATGAGTCTACCTAAGACCCTCTCTAAGCATATAGGCTCTGAAGGACAGAGAAACTTAGCCCAAATTCCTCAGATGGGAGAATGTTCAGACCACAGACAGCCTAAAGAAGGCATCACAACACCCTGTCTCCAACCTGGAAGGGCAGGCGGCCCTCAGTTACCAGCAAGATGTCCTGTGGGACAGAAGCCATGTCCCAGGCAGCCAGCCAAGCAGCAGCTCAAACTACCACTGTCTGCCTTTTGGACAGACAGCAATCTATGCCAATACACAGACCGGGCTTCACGTGAAGTCCCACAGCTATCAGACAACTGAAGAGGAAGCGAGGGAGAGAGGAGCCAGGCAGAATGAGGAGGGGGCATTAAAGGGATGTGCCTTATAGACTCCCACCTACCTCGTGTTGCCAATAGGAAAATGAACCATCTATACCTTACCCATGACACATCCCCTATACATCCAGGATCAATAAAGCATTGACCCCCTCCCTACCCCCCATTCACAGGAGGCCAGAGAGTGACAGAGTTTACGCAACTTGCTCAAGGTCACAGCCGGTGAGGGACACAAGATGTGAGAGCAGCGGGTGAGGACACTGCCGTGGCGACTCACCCAGCACCAGGGCGACTTCACGCTCTCTAAGCCACACCAACAGGAAGCTGGGCCTGGTGGCCGGCAGAGAGAAGACGGCATTTCCTCTGCTCCCCAGGGTATCGGGGGCGTCCGTGGCCCAGGAAGGCCACAGTGTCCCTAGGATGCCAGGGCACCGCTGATGGGCCCTGGCACAGCATTTTCAGATCCACAGCTGGAACCCCACACATTTCTCTGAGCCCAAGAACCACCACCACCCTGCCTGGGCCAGGCCGGCGACGGAAACCGGGGTCTCGGGGACGCAGGAAAATCACCAACCTCCCTGCCCCGTGGAGGTGGAGCGGCACAGACCGGGCCTGGCGCTGCCAGGAGCTCTGCCACACGCCACCCACCAGCACAGCGGCTCCCACCCTGCTCGCTGGAGCCCAAATGCCTTCGAGAGAGAGCAGCAGCTCCCGCAAAGACTTCCAGTACACTCTTTGTTCAGCCGCCCTTCTCCTCCCTACACCAAAAGTATTAAAATAAGCTACAAAGGAAGTAAAGAAATCCAAATAGACCCATGTAGAAGCTGTCAGAAAAACACAAGTGGGAGGAGCCAGAGAAGGGCACCTCCCAGGCTGCTCCTCCAAGGACTGAGGGGCTTCGAAGGCAGGGGCCCACACCCATCTCCACTGACACCTCCTCCTCCCTTTCCACGTGGCACCTCAGTGTGTGCAGACAGCACATGGCTGCCCTGGAGGGAGGGGTAACGGTTGCAGGAGCACACCCTCGGGATCCCAAAGCCAGAGGGGCAGAGCTGGGGGCATCCCACAATGAAGAGGAGAGACAGCCCTCTCGCCCTCACTAGGAAAGCCCAGGGAAGCTGGAAAGTGCAGGAACGCCAGCCCTCGGCCATGGTGGGCACAGTGCTGGCTCCTACTTGGGGAGCAGGACGCGGACGCCGTGGTGGCTTGCAGGAAGGGCATCACTGGGGAGGGGAGTCTGTGTACTGCCAGTCAATGAGGTTGCCCGGGTGGAACCTGGCTGGCCTCTCCCTGTGACCACAGCCCAGGGCACCCTCTACCACAGAGCCAGGGCTGCCCTGAGCCTGGAGATACCCGCACTCAGACTCCAGGGCTTGATTGGGGGGGAGGGGGGGGTTGAGGACACAGCAGCCTGCCCCAGAGGCCAGGACAAAGGGGCCTTGCTGGCCCTAGAGCCCAGAAAACTGAAAGACCCAACACCACACGACCCAGAGTCGACAAAAACAAACAGAGACACGCCCTGCTCAGATCCTCACTGTTGGCTCCAGAGATAAGAGACTGAAAGCTTCCCAGAGGCAAGGACCTCAGACAGAGGGCTGACAGGCTGACAGACTGACAGACAGACAGACAAGCTCCAGTCCCAAGCCCACGACCATCACCACACAGGCCACATGAGCGGTGCATGTGGCCTCCCCAAAAGGCCCCTGCTATCAGGGAGCACTCATAGCCAACTTCCCCACCCAAAATGAAGTACAGACACCTCCCACCATCAGTGACAGGCCCCCACCCCCACCCCCACCCCACCAGGCTGCAAGCAGCTGCACCTGGCCACTAGCCTAGCTGGCCAGGGCAGAACTGCCCCACACAGCACACAGCACAGCACTCTGGGCGGCGGCGCCCCCACCGGAGGCACCAGCCCCGCTCCACAGCCCCTCCCCCCACAACTCTGACACTCTGCTGGAGGGGCGCCCAGAGAAAACCGGGCTGCAGCATCTATTCACAGATTTAGAAGGAAAAAAAAAGTTTGAGGCAAAGGCAATAGCTGAATTAATTAGGCCTCCCAAGAATAGCTGAGCCAAAGCAGCATTCTGTGTATGCAATTTAATAAGCCTGGATATTTAAAATAACAAAGTTACAGGTACTTGAACTGTGTGCAGGAAAAATCCCTCATGCACTCCAGCTAACGGCTTCCTCACCTAGCCGCCGAGAGCTGCCCAAGCCCACAGACCCACAGAGCCTGGACGCAAACAACAGCTTGGGCCCTCCACACCAGGCAGACTCTTCTGCATCTCGGTCAGGAGAGAAGGAAACGGATCAGCCCAAACAAACTGCAGATGGCCAGCAACTCCAACACCAGAGGCTTCGGGCGACTGACCAGGCCAAGAGGCCCTGGTGTCCCACAAGGAACTAGGATTCAAGCCCTGGGATACAGAGCAGCCCACGAGGCCGAGGGCCAGAGTTGCCAAGTCTCAACCCAGCCTCCCGAGTTACTTTTGTGTGTCTCCAGACCTCAAGGGCCAAAGCAGGGAGGGACCTGGTAACCAAACTAGTCTGCCTCCTGGGAGCCAAGAGCAGGCACTTTTTGTCAGTGAGGCCGGGAGGCTCCTGGGGTACAGGCAGAAACCTTTGCCCCAAATGGGTCTACACACCTTGAGGGGAGAAGGGCGCCCCCCCCCCATGTGGACCGGAAGCTCACAGTCTGTGTCCTGAAGATCTAATTTCCAAGATCTCCTTGGAGCTTGGGGGAGGCCTCTTTCTCAGACCAGTGAAGCAGTGCAGTGGTACTAGGCCGTGGGAAGAGCTTTTCCACTGACCAGGTCCAGCAAGGCCACCCCAACGCGCTCCCCCCCACCGATCGGCGCCCCCTTCCCTGCAAGGCGGGTCTTCTTCCTGGGCCTGCTGGACAGAGCTGCAGACACCGCTCCAAACTTCCCCGAGACAAAAGCCACTCCGAGACTTCGAGGCCCGGCAGGAGGAGGCACAAGCTTCCCATTCCGGAGCCCCCCAACCCCCCCCCAAGCCGCCCGTCCCCCGCGGCCGGCGGGACACTCACCCGGGGCACCCGCCGCTTGTACTTGTTGGCGTAGTCGAACTTCTCCTTCACGTCGTCCAGGCAGCGGCCGAGCCGGGCCTGCTCCTCCTTGCCCGTGTAGTCCTGGCTCAGCAGGATGTAGGCCCTCCAGTTGGCCGAGTCGAAGCCCCAGTGGCAGGTCCGGTTCTCCAGGGCCTTGTGCGAGTGCACCACGAACTTGTGCGGCGGGTACATGAGGCGGCAGTCGAGGCACTGGATGCAGGCGGCGCTGGGGCTGCTGTACAGCTCGGGCACCAGCAGCCCCTTGCACTTGCCGAAGCACTCGTGGTACACGCGGACGCTGCGCTCGCTGAGCTGCAGGCCCAGCGCCAGGCTGGCGGCCAGCTCCTTCTTGCAGGGCGGCGGGTAGGCGCCGCCGTAGAGCAGCGCGTTGCACAGGCGCTCGGCGTCCGTCTTGGTGATGAGCCCGCACGAGGGCGCGGAGAAGGGCAAGATGCCCATGACTTTGAGGATCTCCAGCTGGTCGGCCGTGCAGCGCGAGCAGTAGATGTGCAGCTCGTCGCACACGGAGTTGATCTGCTGCAGCGAGAAGTCGCGCAACACCGAGTTGAGGATCTGCGGCAGGCACAGGCGCTTCTCGCCGCCCACCACGAAGCACGAGATGGTCTCCCCCTCCAGCACGGTCTCGCAGCGCTCCGTGGAGCGATCGGACGGCATGAAGAAGGGCCCGGGCAGCACGGGCGGCGGGGGCTGGATGGCGGGCAGGTGCAGCACGGGCGGCGGCTCGGCGGCCGCGGGCACCGGGGCCGGCACGGCGGCGGCGGCGGCGGCGGCGCCCGCCTCCTTGGCGCTCTCCTTCTTGTAGGCCTCCTGCGCCCAGCGCGCCGAGAAGGCGGCCGGGCCGCCCAGGGAGCTCATGGAGCTCAGGTGGAACTGCTCCAGCGTCTTCTGCAGCCCCGGGTGCGGCTGGAAGCCGCCGCGGCCCCCCGCCGCCGCCTCCATGGCGCGATCGGGCTCCCCGGGCCGCTCCCGCTCCCGCGCGCCCGGGCCCCCGCGGCCTCCGCCCCGCGCGCCCCGGCGGCGCCCGCGGCCCCGGCCCCGGCCGCCCCCCGCCGCCGGCTCCCGGCCGATCACGGCCGCGGCCTCGGCCTCGCCCGGAGGCGCGAAGGCGAAGGCGGGCGGGGCGAAGGGGTCCCGCCGCTGGAGTCCTCCGCCGCCGCCGCCGCCCGGGCCCGGCGCCACATCCACGCGCCCCGCGCCGCGCCCGCCGCCGCCCGGGCCCCCCGCGCGCCCCCCGCGCGCCCCCCGGGCTCTAGGCGCGGGGCATGCCCCGGCGCGCGCCGCCAACGCCAACGCCAACGCTCGCGGGCCCGGGGCTCGCGGGGGGCGCGCGGGCAGGTGCCGGCGCCTCGAGGCGCGAATCGCCGCGGCGGCCGAGGCCGAGGGGCCCGGGAGGAGCGGGGGCGCGGGCGCGGGGCCCGCCGGGCCGTCCTCGCGCGGCGCGCCGCCGCCGCCGCCCCGCTCCTCCCACCGCGCGGCGCCCGCCCGGCTCGTCCCGGCGGCGCCGGCCGGCCGCGTCGCGCCCGCCGCCCGCCCCGCCGGCCCGCCCGCCCCGCGCGCGGCCCCCGAGGCGGCCGAGACGCCTGGCTCCCCGCCTCAGAGCGCCGCGGCGGCGCGAGGCCCGGCGCTGCCCGCGCACATCCTCCCGGCGGCTCGCTCGGCTCGGACTGAGCGCCGGGCGCTGCGCTCACGCCGCCCGCGCAGCCCCGCCCCGCGCCGCCCGCGCCGCCCGCCCCGCGCCGCGCCGCCCGCGCCGCCCCGCCCCGCGCCGCCCGCCCGCGCCGCGCCGCCCCGCGCCCCGCCCCGCCCCGCGCGGCCCCGCCCCGCGCCCCGCCCCGCCCCGCGCGGGCCGCCGCCGCCGAGCGCCGCCCGGGCCCGAGCGAGCGGAGGGGGCCCCGGCCGCCCCTCCCGCGGCGCGCGCCCGCCCGGGCTCGGCTCCGCTCGGCCGCGCTCGGCTGCGCCCGCCCGGGAGTCGGCGGGGATCGGCCCGGCCCGCCCGCGCCTCGCCCGCGCTCGGCCCGCCCGCCCGGAACTCGGCCCCGCCCGCCGCGCGGCCCCGCCCTCCCTGGGACGCTGACGAGGCGGCGGCGGCGGCGCCCGGGACCCCCCTTCCGGCCGCGGCCACTTCCTGCGCGGCTGGGACGCCGGCGCCGCCGGGGCCCCGAAACCCGCAGGGCCCCCGCCGGAACCGCAGGCCGGCCGGGGCGATCCGGGGCCGGACGCCCCGCGGCTCCCGGCGGATGCAGACGCCGCGAGCCTCTCCGGGGCGCCTGCGGGACGTGGGGCAGGGGGCCCGCGGGACAGGGCGCCTGCGGGACGGGGGCGGCCCGACACGTGCGCCTGGGGCCCGGCGCCGCGCTCGAGCGGGGGCGCCCCGAAGCGCGGCCTCGTGGAGACTCCGCCCCCACCCCCACCCCGCATGGCGCGGGTTGGGCCGATGCCACACCGAACAGCGCGGGGACCCCGAGGAAGGATCGGCCCCACGGACACGCGTGACCTGCCTCCCGCCCCACGGACACGCGTGACCTGCCTCCCACCCCACGGACACCCGTGACCTGCCTCCCACCCCACGGACACGCGTGACCTGCCTCCCACCCCAGGGCCAGCGGCCGCCCTTGCCCCGTCCCAGGAACAGGTGCCCGGACGGGCACACTCAGCCAGGTCACACTTAGCAGCCCCTGTCTCCCCCGAGCCCCTTGCTGTAAAAGTCAGCCGTCCACGGCCAGGGCCAGCCCCAAGAGCGGCCCCTCCTCAAGCTGGCAGCTGGAGTGACCTTTGCTCCAGGCCTCTGGGGCAGGCCTGCCTCTTTGCCCGTCCATTGGGCACCCTGGTGGTGGCCCAGCGAGGCCCACTGTCTGCCTCTCCACTCACTGGTTGCACTGTAAGAACCAGGGAGCCAGCCAGGGCCCCGAGAGAACCTAAGGCAGGACAGTGTGGAGGGTGAGAGTGTCTCAGGGGAGGAGTGGGAGTGGGAGGGAGGCCACACAATGGAGTCTAGGGACCAAACCTTGGGACAGCTCCGCATACGCTGAGAAGGCATGGAGCTGTTTCTCACAAAGCCACAGCCCGAGCTAGCCTGGACAGCGGGTGCTGGAAGAGGTCTCGGTGCTAGGCGGAGGGGAGGGGGTCAGGGCCTCACTTCCAGTTTGTGACCTTCACCCTGCCTCTTGGGAGAGGGTGGAACAGGCCCCAGAGCAGCACTGCTGCTGCAGCTCCTGCTGGGGAGAAGAGTATGGCCAGGCAGGCCTCAGCTGCCCCTGCCAAAGGGCAGGTACGCGGGCCAGCCTGCGAGGCCAGGGCAGGATCCCGTGCTTAGAAACCAGATCAGTCCCCACCAGAACACTTGAGCCCTGTCTGTTCCCTGTGCTGGCCCACCAACCGCTTCCCCACCTCTGATCTGGTCCCAACCATAGCAGTCCCCCCCACCATAAAGTATCTAATACATAAGAAAGCTCCTAGCCGGGCACCGGTGGTGGCTCACGCCTGTAATCCTAGCTACTCAGGAGGCTGAGATCTGAGGATCATGGTTCAAAGCCAGCCTGGGCAGAAAAGTCCGTGAGATTCTGGTCTCCGAATAACCACCAGAAAACCCGAAGTGGTGCTGTGGCTCAAGTGGTAGAGCGCTGGCCTTGAGAGCTGAGGGACAGCGCACAGGCCCAGAGTTCAAGCCCCATTACCAGCAAAAAAAAGAAAACAGAAAACTCCTGAGGCAGGGCAGTGGTGCTCATACCTGTCATCCTGGCTACTCAGGAGGCTGAGATATGAGGATCACAGACAGCCCAGGCAGGAAACTCAGTGAGACTCATCTCCAATAGACCACTAGAAAACCAGAAGTGGGGCTGTGGCTCAAGTGGTAGAGCACTGGCCTTGAGCTGAAGAGTGCAGGGACAGCACCCAGGCCCAGAGTTTAGGCCCCACGACCAAAAAACAAAACAAAACAAAAAAAAAAAACTCAGAAAACAAAAGGAGCACTTACTTGGGGCTGGGAAGGTGGCTCAGTGGTAGAGTGCTTGCCTCTCATGCATGAGGCCCTGGGTTCAATTCCTCAGCACCACATAGCAGAAAAAGCCAGAAGTGGCGCTGTGGCTCAAGTGGTAGAGTGCTAACCTTGAGCTGAAGAGCTGAGGGACAGCGCCCAGGCCCAGAGTTTAGGCCCCACAACCGACAAAAGGCACTTACTTGTACTCCTGCAAATGACTTTGACTTTGTGGACCCACATTTAGCCCCAAAACAAATTAATGTTGCACTAGTGTTGCATTAATGATGCTTCTTGTGGATTTGAAGTCTGTGCAACTCAGGAAAACTAATCCAAAGAACGTGGCTAGAAAGAGGGGCACTGGTGGCTCACACCTGTCATCTTACCTACTCAGGAGGCTGAGATCTGAGAAGCTTTGTTTGAAGCCAGTCCATGAGACCCTTACCTCCAGTTAGTTACCAAAAGAGCTGAAAGTAAAGCTATGGCTCAAACGGTAGAGGCACTAGCCTTAAGTAAATGATGCTCAGGGACAATACCCAGGCTCTGAGTTCAAGCCCCAGGACTGGCAAGGAAAGAAGAAAGTGGCTGGAGACATCAGGAGCCGCAAAGCCGAGCCTCCTCGCACTGTGGCCTGAGCGGGGTGTGGAGCAGCCACCAGGCCCCTCACATGCTCCGCACACCTGTGGCTGCAGGGCCAGCGGCGTCCCCGATTCCCAGAACCAGGTCAAGCAGCCACGGTGAAGGGTGAAGGCACTGGTCCAGGAGGAGGCGCGGGGATGGGGAAGGGCCTCCAAAAGCAAAGAAGCCCTTTGGCCTCTGAAGCCCCTTCAAGCTAGGGAGGTGTTCAGAGCAGCCCAGCCTGCTCTGAAGGGTCAGGGCAGCTGGACCCACAGAGCTAGCAGCACCCGACTTTACCCCTGAACCCCACGCACAGCTCTGGCCTGCCGGCCTCGCTCTCTCCAGCTCCCCCTGTGGCTGCTCTGGCCCTTCAGCCACCTCCCCGTGGGGATGGCGCCTGCCTGGAGGGGTCCCTGAGTTTGGGCCGGGCAAGGGCAGCTCCGTCTCCAGCCCCCCCCAGCCCGCGCCTGCGCACACCGATGGCTGAGGCCGCTGGTGATAGGCACGGTGCCTCTTCTGCGAGCACCGAGCTCATCTGCCGCCACTGCAGGGTGAGCCCTGTCTGGGGGCGGCGCGGCCTGTGGGCCGTCTGTCGTCTGAGAGACTGGCAGTGGAGCCACAGCTCCCCTGATGGACCGAGGGACAGGGCAGCCCGGTGGCGACTTTAGTCAGGAAAGCAGCTTGGGACTGGCCTGGAAATTGAAATCCCAGGCTTGCTTGTCCTTTTTTGGGGGGGGTGGGGGGAGGTTTCCAGTCCTGGGCTTGAACTCACGGCCTAGGCGCTGTCCCTGAGCTTCTTTTGCTCAAGGCTAGCACTCTACCACTTGAGCCACAGTGCCACTTCCTGCTCGTGCTTTTTCTGCTTATGCGGTGCTGTGAATCGAACCCGGGGCCTCACGTATGCAAGGCAGGCACGCCACCTTTTAGCCAACTTCCCAGCCCAGCAGTTTGTTCTTTAAGGAGGCTCTGGTCCAGCTGGAGAAATACTGAGAGGAGGGGCTGGAAGGTGGCTCAGTGGTAGAGCGCTTGCCTTGCAAGCCAGAGGCCCTGGGTTCGATTCCTCAGCACCACATAAGCAAAAAGAAAAAAGCTGGAAGTGGCGCTGTGGCTCAAGTGGTAGAACGCTAGCCTTGAGCTGAAGAGCTGAGGGACAGCGCCCAGGCCCAGAGTTCAGGCCCCACGACCGGACCCAAAAAAATATATATTAAAAAAAAAAAGAAAACAAATATTGAGAGGACCAGGCCAGCAGCCTCAAGATGGACATTTTCCACCACTGACCAGCAGCTCACAATGCTGTCCTCCCCCACAGACCGGTGCTGCTCCTCTGCCTGTGCTCAGGACTGGGGGACGAGCCTGTTCACAGCCAGGTACAAACCGCC